GCTGGGGACCTACTTGGCCACAGTGGGAGTCAGCACTGGGCTCTGGATAGGGCTCTCATGGGCTCCGCTGATGGTTCTCCCATTAACCCTGAGCAAACCCCTTAGCTTCCCAGGGCCCAGGGCCCCCACCCACAGGCCGTGGTGGTCTCTAGGTATCGAGAAGGCGCTTCCCTCTTGTCTGCCTGGCGAGGTCATCCCGGCAGTAAATGACAGAGGAAGTAGATATTTCCAGGCTATTATGCTCCTCTCAGAGAGAAAAGACTGGGAGACAAATGGCTGGACAATGGGAGCCTGCCTGGGGGGCTCCCACTCAATAGCCCACCCCTTCTAGGTTGTCAGCAACCTCAGGAGGGGGTTGGGCAGACCTGGGCAGTGGTGGCCACTGCTGTGTGTCCCAGAAGACAGACTTGCCCTACTTTCAGATGCCCACGAGGAGGGAAGCTGGCAACTCTGGACCTCGAGGGGCAAGTGTGTGTTCTGCAGCTTCACATGCATGTCCCACAGAGACCTTGGGAGGCTGTGTTGCGAGACAGGCCAGCCTGCTCCCCAGGACCCCTGAACGACTGGGACACTTGCCGGGTCACACGATTGGTCTCTCCCCCTCAAGGTGCTGCATTCCGATGTGGGACAGGCAACGCGGACCACTACCTCTGAGCCCCCCCCTCATGCCCCATGAGGATGGGAGCAGCCTTGCAAGTCCAGGTCAGGGGGAGGGCTGCTGGGTGGCCACAGCAGGCTTCCCTTGTGGAGTGCGTTGGGGCCAGTATGTCTGAAAGAGGAGCATTGTGGAAACTCTGATGAAGGCTACTAGTGGTGGCTGGGCCCTGGTTGTGGATGGGGTGGGGTGGGTCCCTGCAGTTCTCATTCTGACCAGTTAAGTCATCCCCGGCCTGGCCTGGAGGAGTGCACCACAGTCACAGCCTGAAGGGCCTCTCTCACCCCACCGCCTCAGTGGACAGGAAGGCTGCTTTTCAGATAGAACCCCCTCAGGGTCTTGCCCTGGGCCAGGTGCCTCCCAGGGCTCACAGGCCCAGAAGGAGGGAGCACACACACTTTCCTTCTTGGTTTCCTCCAAACTAATCTGGCAATATGCTCATTCCCTTTAAATCCTCAACCTTTAACCAGCACAACAGGCACCCAGATTCAGACAGCGTTTACTAAGAAACGAGGGAGTGGGAAGGAGGGATGAGCCAGGGCTGGATGTCTGGCCAAAAAGACACCACCAGAGTAATTAATTAATTAATTATCAGGCCCACTGTGCAAACAGTGCTGGGGAGTCCTGGAGGAGAGATTGGTTTGCGGGGAGGAGGTGTCTCCTTTTCATTTCATGATAGGGTTTCAGGGCCTGGTCACACCTTCCTTACCATGGGGCTTAATTACACGGTGGGTGGGGGTGGGGCAGGACAGGACTCCCCAGTCTACCCAGGAGGCTCCCAGCTGACGGCCGGGCCTGGAGAAACTGCAGGGAACTGGTACGTGAACAGCATTTTCACCCTGGAAAGTCAGGAATTTTCTGAGCCGGATTCTCTTTAGTAAAACAGGGTTAACACCACCCACCTTTCAGAGTCCTGGGGCCACCTCAACAAGTACCACAGATGGGGGTGGTGAAGGGTGGTGGTGGTGGTGTCTGTAACAACAACTGATTGTCCTGGAAGCCAAAAGTTTAGACTCAAGGTGTCTGCAGAGTTGGATGCCCTCTGAAGACTCCAGGGAATGGTCCAGTTCTTTCAGCCTCTGGTAGCCCCAGGCATTCTCTCTGGGGCTCGCCTGCCCCTGATTGTCTTCCTCCTGGCGCTGCTGTCCTGCCTGCCACTCCCTTCCTCTCTCTCCTCTTCTTGAATGGACACCAGTCTTTGGACTCGGGCCCTGCCTCATCTTACCTAATTATAGCCAATGATCCTGTTTCTAAAAAAGGTCACATTCTGAAACCTGAGGTTAGCATGTGAACCTCCCTGTAGGGTAAGGAAAAATGTCAGGCTTTTTTGCCCTCCCGCCATCAGGATAGATGATGGAACCCTGCGGTCCTGAATGCATGCCTGATGGCGGGCACCTGGAATAGGGTGTGGGCAGAGGTAGATGGGATTCACCTGGGCTGAGATTGTGCTTTTTAAGGGCGGCGTCACGGGGACGCCAGTAGAAGCTGAGAAGAGCAGCAGAAGTCGAGAGAAGCTGAGAAAGAAGTAGCAGAAGCTGAGAGAGAAGCAGAGAAAGCCAGAGAGCCCACAGAGAGTGAAGACTTGCTGGGGGCTGGGAGGCCTGCCAGCCTCCCGGCCCCCCAGCACCTCTGCCTGCTGTGTACCTGGTAATCCCAATAAAAATACCTGCAAAAAAACCACTGAGGACTCTGACTTCTCCTTTACCCCGTCTGCACGGGATCAGGAAACCTGCACTGTGTCCATTCCTGGACTCTACACTCCCCAGTATCTCTTTGGGGATACAATTAGACCGTAACGAAAGGTGCTGGAGGACTAAGGGGAACGATACTGATACAGTAGGGTCAAAACACCAGGACCCTCATACATTCCTGGCACAGATGGAGCAGCCCCCATAGGAGGAGAGCTGCCAGACAGAGGCGGGTCCCTGGGAGCTGGCTGTCACTCCCGGGGTTGTTTAAAACCGCCCCCGAGTTAAGAAGGGGATGGGCCCCATGGATAACTCACTCAGAGTAACTCAATTTTCCCCAGAATAGACCCAAGTCCCAAGAGTGAGGAACTGGGGCCGCCCCCCTTTGAAGTGCAAATGCTGACCCCTCTGTGCAGCCCTTCCTGAATAATCAGACTGGCATCTGCTGCCTGGTTCTGCGCTGCTGTGGAAGTGCACCCCACCAGCTGCTCCTGTTCTCGGTGCCCCCACAGGCTGGTCAGGTGGCTGGAAGGATCAGACCCCAGGCAGTTCTGGTAATCACCACTTAGCAGGAGGGGGAATTAGGAAAGCAGAGTGTTGAATGTGACTGGCAGCAGCTGCGGTTCCATTTCCCATTTGCTTAGATACCTGCTGTCCTGGCAGGACTGTGCTGTGGGGGCGGGGAGGAAGGGCACGAGCCACCCTTTGTCTGACGGGCGGCTTCCTCCACTCCACGCAGCCCTGAGAGCCTCAGGCCTGGTGGAGAGGGGACAGGACCCTCATCGGCTATGAATCAGGGAGTGAACGTGGGATGAGGAGACACAGAACTCCCCTGGGGACGAGGGGTCTTAGCTGGCTGCTCCACCTCAAACCTTAGGAACAAAGTCAGCAACCAGGACAAGGGTTGTTTTGCTGAGAACACGAGGGCTTGGGGGCCTGGATAGAGCCACTATGGCGACTGCAGTTGGCACTCAGCTTCTTTCTGGTTAATGCAGGCCTCATTTCATCCGTGAAATAGGAAATATGCTACCTGCTGAATGGGTAGTTACGGGTGGGCATGAGAAAGTTTATGCAGAGCACCTAGCAGTAACACTTAACAGGCTCTGAGCACCACCCCCTGGCAAATGGGCTAAGTCAGGTAAGAGAAAAATAGACAATGTAGCTATGAAGCTGACCCTTGGTGTTGAGCCTATTGCTGCTGAGAAATGACCACTCCCTTTCTTCTTCCTCTCTTCTTCCCAATTATCTTTTCCTTCTCTGCCCTGGTGACTTTACCACTTCCGCCCCTTGTCTCTTTCAGGACCCCAGTACTGATATGTCTTGACTGAGGTTAGCAGGGCAATCCTCAAAGAGCTCCAGCCTGAAGGCAGACGGGTATCAACTGTAAAGCAAGGACCAACCCGTGAGCAGTGGTGGCTGGACCTTGGAGAACCAGCCGGCTCAGGAATGTGGGCACTCTCAGGGTAGGCTCAGCTACTGCCTGGAGGTGATGCTGAGGCTGCCTTCCCAGTTTCTCCTTTGTGATCCTTCTTACCCAGATCTCCTGATTCTACAGCCAAGGAAATTTTTGTTTGGGTTTATCTTCATTAGTGCTTATTTATCAGCACTAATAAGTAAGTGCTCAGGTAATGTGTGGTTTAAAAAAACAAACAAACATTACTTGATTAAGTGAACTCTGGATTGCCCTGCTCGCTGCAGCCGAAATGTCACGTTCTGGATTCAATGTTAGTGTTTGCCCAAGAGCTGCTGCCCTCTGGTGGAAATGTAGAACAGAACTGCCCAGACGTCATCAAGAAGCACTTCCAGGCTACCGACAACACACAAAACCCTATTAACTCCCTCTCAGAGCTTACCTTTTGGTGTGAACCATGAACTTGATGCTAGTTCATCCAGGCCTTTCATTCACATTGATAACACCACTATGTTGCATGAAATACTAGAATTATAGTCACTTGGTATGAACCTGGTTTTGAGAGTGGTTGAAATTTGTAGATACCGTTTCAGTGTAAGGGCTGACTTCTGGGTATGTTAACACAGAGCCATGGGAAGCACATGGAGCTACTACTCACAGCAAATGGCCGTGGAGCCTCCGGCCCCTGCAAAAGAGGCAGGCCAACCCCAGATCTTCTTTTGTGCCTTCGGTTTCACGGACAGTCACAGGTAGAAGTTTCTCCTGTAAAGAGGAACTGCAGCAAGACTGATCTGGGAGGAATCAACAATTCCCAGGTTATCCAAGTGTCTGAAGCCATTTATCAAGTTTTCCGGGGAAGATTTGTCACTCTTGCTAAGAATACAAAATTCTGTGACTGATTTAGTCACTGGAAGAGATTTCTCATTGTGTCTACACATCAGTCGCCTGTTCAGTTGCCCCTGCAGGGCCTCACGTGGAGGAGGAGGCAGCTGAGACCACCACAGGGTTTGCTTGAATGGCAGGAGGTGTTCAACCTCAAAATGGAAAAATAGCTTGAAATTAAACTAGAGTCGGTAGATGAGTAAGGAACATGCCTTTCATTTTTAAAACAGCTTTTTTTTTTTTTACTTAAATTTTCCTACAAAAGATAATTTTCTCTCAAGAACACACACACACACACACACACACACTCTTCATTTTCTACTTATCCTTTTTCATTCATGACATCTTGATAATGTTTGAAACAAAGAATGTTATGGAACACCTGTAGTAAGTAAACCTTAAATCAAACTACATATGTTGGAATAGATTACTGAAAAGAACTTAAAAGGGCAGCCTGAAAGAGTGAGAGAGTAGAAAATATAGGCTATATTCCGATAACACAGGGGGTTAGCTCACATACTGGTTATGATATTCAACAGAGCGAATCGAGAGGCATTGTTATATATTTGCTTGTGTATACTGCTTTTCTAATTAGAAGATACAGAGTCATTTTAAGTAGCTTCCATTTAATATAACATTTATTTTCATTTTGTATGATCCAGATGTCACATCTTCTACATTAAAATATAATCATGCTGACCCAACCCCCACCCCTTTCACCCTTAGAGAAATAAAGTGAAGAACTTTACACAACTCTCAGAAATGGAATGCACAGAGTAGAGAAGCTGCTATTGCACAGAGGTCAAAAGAGCAGACATGGCAGGAGTGCATGGAAGACAGTTTAGGGATCACAGCAGAGAGAACAGGAATTAAAATGCTAAAGCTTTTAAACACTATCACTTGTTCCACAAGATTATCCTGAAAAGGCAAAGACAGGTCAGAAAGCAGAACCAAACACAGGATTTTTCAGTTTAAAATACCCATTAACAGAAGAGCCTTCTCCTCTCCGCCTTGCCTTTCAGCATCTGGTAAACACTTTAGAAATTTATACCCACTGATAGCATGTCAGAATGTAGAACAGATGTAGGTTTTCTTTCCTTCCTTATTTTTTATTGTACCCCAACTCTTACAAAGCAATGCTATTTATTTTAATTATGTGATTCCTCTGCACAGAAACCCAAGAAGAAAAAGCATCTCACAACCATCAGATCATGCCAGCTGTATAAAAGCTGCATGATTCTGCTACCCAGAGGGAGGGAGAACAGTGAGACACAGGAGTCAGAACTCATATATAAATAAAAATGAGGAAAGGAAACTCCTTTTCCAGTCTACTCATTAAATAAGAAAGAACAGGTGGACAGTAAAAGTCATCTGCTTAGAGCAGCATAGGACTGGAGGTACACAGCAGTCTGAACACCACTGCGCAGGAAAGACCCTCTTGGCTCTTCCAAGTGGAATCTTTCAGACCTGATTGTGCCCCTAATTTGGAGATCAAAGTATCATAAACTTCAAAGACTGATTTTCTTGAGGGGGTTTCAAGGTAAGGTCTAGGAGATCCAAATAACAAGGACATTATTAGGCAAGTAACTACACCACTATGTACAAATACATACACCAATAAGGAAACCTCACCTTCACCCCGGCAGCTACTTTAAACAAAGCACTGAAAATCCAGGTTTTCTGAATAGGAGATATTTTTAAATCTGTTAGCAGTTTAAAACATTGCAACACTGGCACAATATGTTACCTATTCTTTGTTTTTAATTACACGGTAACACAGTAAACTCCAGCACAAAGGTGGGGGTGGGAGAGTGCAAAAGGAATAAAGAAAACAGAACTAGTATGTCACAAGAGTATCGAGCCAGCGATGAAACAGCAGCTAATGTTTTGCAGAGTCTCGAGGGTAAAATTCACTCAGGGTGCTCTGAGGGATTCTCTTCAGCATTTCTTTGGGGAAGATTCGGAGTAGCTGCCAGCCAATGTCCAAAGTCTCATAGACAGTGCGGTTTTCGTAAGGACCTTACAAAAAAATTGAGACTGAATGAATAAAGGCAAACTACTTCCAATTTCTTAGTGCTATTCAGTGTTTAGCCTATGACTAACATTGTGAGCATGAAGTATAAAGAAGAGAGGAGTCAGGTATCCCAAGACAGGATGCAACTGTGGAATGTGAAATGAGGATGAAGTAAGTACCATCAGGAATCAGAGAAAAAAGAGAGGCCTGCGGGCTAGAAAGTATTGTCAAAGAAATACAAAAGCCAGAGGAATTGGTTGTCAAGAGGTTATGAGGAAGAAGTGCACGGTGGCAGCAGAGCAGGAGGCTGGATGTAAGGAGGGGAAAATAAGACGGACGAAAAATAATTGGACAATGGAGCGCAAGACAGAAACCCAAGTGCACAGACATGACAGGCACTCAGAAGTACCTCTTCTCTAATCAGTAATAAAACCATACAGATAGCAATACAAGTTCTCTCAGACAGGGAAAAAAGGTGGCTTATGTTTCTAACAAAATATTCATCTTACCCTGAGCAATAAAGTTCCTCTCAAACTTCTGCAGAAATTCCAAGTAAAGAAGGTCATCTGAGGTAAGAGCTTCTTCTCCAACTACGGCTTTCATGGCTTGTACATCTTTACCAATAGCATAACATGCATACTAGAGAGAAAAAAGGTTCATAAGAACAAAGACAAGAGTTTACAGATGTTGACAGTAATCTGGGCTTTTTAAGAGTACTGCTAGGGCTATCTACATTAGAAGGTAATTTCACAGAGGAAATCTCATAATCACAAAAATAAGAGTTCATATGGTATCAGGATTTATTATTATCAAGAAGTCTCACTCAAAGGGGATATTCACACATGTAAAATGTAGACATTTTTAACACTAGAAAAATAGACTCCCTCAATGTCTTAGTGAACTCACATTTAAAAAACCATTTGAAAACCAGAAGTCATACTTGTTACCATGGAGAACTCCATCTCAAAATTCTATTCAATAATAATATTTGTGGTATCAATAGATTTAGCACTTCAACTTTATACTCAAGAAAAAAAAATTTTTTTTTTAATTTGTATTTGGTGTACTATCTCATATGACTAAAGAAACTGAGGACTTGGGCCTCCCTGGTGGCACAAGCACAGCACTGTGAAGCTATCCGCGCCACTACAGCATGAGTTTGATCCCCGGCCAGGGAACTACCCACATGGCTCAGGAGACCTCTCCTGACTCGCCCGCTGCTCCCCTCAGCAGTGTATTTCAGTCAGTCTGCCTGTTCTGTTTCCCACTCTGTCTCTGGTGAATCCTTTCACCTCTGCACCTCTGACCTGTACCTAGTTCTCGTATGCATAAATAAATAAATCTTAAAAAGAAATAAGGACTTGACTAAACATATAAAACGATATCCTTTCGTGTTCTGGTGACTGCTCAAAATGTCAAGAAAGAGGGCCTCCCCGGTGGCGCAGCAGTTGAGCGCTGGGTTGCGAAGCTGCCCACAGCCTCTGCAGCGCCGGTTCAATTCCCAGCTGCTCCCCGGCCACCAGAGGAGGGTCCCACATGGCGTGCAGACCTCTCTTGCCGCCCGCTGCTCCCCTCAGCAGTGTACTTCGGTCCTTCTGGCTGCTCTGCTCCCTGATCTGCCTCTGGTGAATTTTCTCACCCTCCCGCGCTTCTGACTGTACCCAGTGCTTGTATAAATAAATAAATCTTTAAAAAAAAAAAAAAAAATCTGAAAATACTAAAAAAAAAAAAAAAAAATGTCAAGAAAGAAATATATCACAGCATTCTTCCAGGAAAAGGACTAAGCTTACTAAAAAAGTTTAAAATGAACTGATGGCTTGTTTTTTTTTTTATTTAGAAACTTCCTTAAATAGCATTAAAAGTAGGTTTCAAGCATGATTTTTAATCATCTACCCTCATGAGAAATGACTGCTTGGTTCTAATGAATGACTATACATTCCATGACAAGCTTCTATTAAAATCCTACTTGGATCAGGGAGAAGAAAAGTTCTACAAGAGAAAGACAAAAGGTATCAGACCATAGAAAGAATGGACTGAGAAACTTAGTTAATCTCTTTAAGCATCATTCTTAAGAGGATATACATACCAGCTGGTTAGACACATCGGCATGATCCTTTCTGGTCATACCTTCTCCAATAGCAGATTTCATTAACCGTGATAATGAGGGTAGCACATTAATGGGTGGGTAAATCTTGGGGAGAAAAAAAGCATTTATATTCACAATTCAACCTTTATCTGTAGTAATGAAGCATTTCAAAACTCATTACTATTCCTTAAATTACATAAAATGTCTGCATTCGTTTCCCAGATGAATTCTAATATGTTTTCATGGGAAGAAGAGGTAGTAAGAAACACTTTCTGGTGTAATATATTTTTTGGAGACAAAAAGTGAAAACCTATGAAGCGGGATATGATTATATTATACATTTTCAATATCTGCCTTGTAGTATTAGCAGTATCAAATCTAAATATAAATGTTCTTGTGAACTCTGACTCATAAAACCAAATACATAAAAAAATTAACAATAATTTCACATAAAAGCTGACAGTAGAAGCCACCGTTCATTAAAGAACTCTCAAATGTCTCTCTTCCTATTAATAACAAGATTGGCAGATTATACCATTATGGGAAAGAATTATCCAAAAAAAGTTAAAATAACTGGTTTTATGTTAAGGCATAAGAAGAGTAAAATTTAATTCTTAATTCTGGCACATTTATACACATCCAGATTTTAGTATCCAGAAACAACAATTTGATAGTCATATTAAAAACTATTCAAGTTGATATTTTCTGAACAAAATAGTTTTCAGAACAAAGTCAAAGTCACTAAAGAATAATTGAAGAGTAGATCTGTGAGCTTTACAGCATCACTACAATGTCAAATACCTGTCTGTTGTGCAGCTGTCTGTCCACATATATTTGCCCCTCTGTAATATATCCAGTCAAGTCAGGGATGGGGTGAGTGATATCTACCAGAGGAAAACATGTGACATTAAATTGGTCATCGCATATAATCAATCATACAGAAGTCAATCTGTATTACCTTACAACATTACCTAGAACATTGCTAAATAAAATAATCTTCTGCAATGACATAAAAGTTCTATATTTGTGCTGCCCAATATGGTAGCTACTAGCTGAATGTGACTACTGAGCACTTGAAATGTGGTTAATGTAACTGAAAAACTTCATTTCTAATTTTAATTCACCTCAGGACTTAGACAAACGTGGACAGTAGTGGTTGCCATACCAGTTTAATTTGTTTGGTTGCAGCACAGTAAGATGTGTTGGTATATGACATAAGCTAGAGGCACTCATTAAAAAAATACCAGTTCTTGTGCCTCCCTGGTGGCACAAGGGGTTAAGCACAGCACTATGAAGCAATCCACAGCCTCTGCAGCAAGAGTTCGATCCCCGGTCTGACAGGGAGCTACCTACATGGCACAGCAGACCTCTCCTGTCTCGCCCGCTGCTCCTCTCATCAGTGTATTTCAGTCAGTCTGCCTGTTCTGTTCCCCACTCTGTCTCTGGTGAATCCTCTCACCACCGACACCTCTGGCCTGTACCCTGGCTCTTGTATGCATAAATAAATAAATCTTAAAAATAAAAAAAAAAAGCCCCAAAAAAACCTAGTTCTGCTAGTTATATAATCTGTCCCAGTTATATAATCTCTCCCCAAATATATATATAGTTATATTTTAAACAAAAATATCTCTTGCAGAGATTTGCCAAGATGATGTAGAGAATATTCTTGTGTTTTAGTTTATAAGTTATTTCAGCGCAGTATTTCGACATGGAAATTACAAGGATGGTGAACAAGTAAAGCAACACCATGCAGGCAGCACCCAGAAGAACACCAAAACAAGACATTTTCATGTTTGTTAAATGTGACTTGTTGTGTGTGACTCATGAATTTCAAATTGCCTATCCTAACCTTGACAGATTATAATATCCCTGTGCCTCAGATTTGAGCACCCACCTCAAAGTTACTGTGAGTAGCAAATGAGTTCCTGTTTACAAGGCACTTAGAAGAGTGCTCGATTAGTGACTGTAAGCTCTACAGAAGAAAATACCTTGGAGAAGGAAGTGCTTTTTAAAATATGATATAAAGACAGAAAGGCAATAAGAGATGCTAAAGAGTGTGATCCCAGGAGCCATCCTGACTACAAGTACATATTCAGACAAGCTTGTATCGTGAGCTTTTACATACATAGTAAAAGAAAGTAATATTTAACCAGTCTTTGGCGATCGTTCTGTCTCTAGACTTATGCCATTACTATGTATGCTCTTCATTTGGCACTTAACATAAGCTGCCTTAAATTACTGCTGCACATAGAAAGAAAATATCCAATTAGGTTGAGTAACAACATAAAGGAGAAAATATAATTCATTTAAAAAAATTGCTTGTATCTAGACCAGTGTTCTGCAAATAGCAGGAATTCAATAGTACCCTACAAATAAAAACTGAAGTTGCAAAAAACCTCTCTTTTTCTACCACGAAAGGATAATAATTACTATGGGCAGTTTTCAAATGAAAAGTTTTATTTAGGCACAAACAACTAGTTAAGGTAGACTCTTAGAGGATAAGCTTTCAAAAATAAGTTCAACTCAAAAAGGTAAAGGGTCCTCTGTCTTAGAAATAAAGTCTGTATAATGATTAGGTTGGTTGTAATCCACAGAGCAAAAACTTACCATCATTAGGCATGGTGAGAATAGGGATTTGAGTAATAGAGCCATTTCTACCTTCCACTCGACCAGCGCGTTCATATATTGTGGCTAAATCTGTATACATGTAACCTGGAAAACCTCGCCGACCAGGAACCTCTTCCCTGGCTGCTGAAACCTGACAATAAGTCAAGGAGGATATCACATACCAGAATATGAAAAGTAAAGCTTAGTTAGAACATGTTTGTATTAACATGCCATATTTCATTATTGAAAATATCATCCTACTCACTTAAAATACCGTATCTAAGAGATAATGTAGAAAAATCTTTCAGCAATGCAAGTTCAAATTATTTTGCAACAAAAATGTTGATAATTGGGGACCAGAAAATTTTTTGCTAAAATTATAATGCCATGATGCAAATCTTCAAATAGTTTATTAGAAGGAAAGCTGCTTGCAGTTGTATAAATCAAAGGTAGTTAATTTTAAAGTCCAAAGAACATTGCTTGGGTCAAAAGATTTATCTCATGATGCAGATCTTGCCATATTTATGTCAGCTAATCCTGAAAACCTCAAAATGAAATAACACATAGGCATACCAAGAATCATTTGAGGTATTTTACATATATTATTTGACCCTCTCAACAGTCCTATGAGAAAGGTTATGTTATTAACCCCAACAGACACTTGTAATAAAGGTCAGAAAAATAGTTTCCTAAGACCTCCCAGCTAGAAGTTCAGTCTCTGCACAAAATAAGTAGTAAGAGGTCTTTCTCTTAGAGGCACACAGACAAGAACATTATATATCAATCTACAATCACCAAGAACCCTAAAGCATTAAATGTACCATTTAAGTGCTATTTTTGGTACCTCTCAAAGAGGGCTACAGTAGTGCTATTCAATGTTGTCCGCAGACCAACTTCTACCAATGTGCAACAATATAGAAAACAAGATTCAGAAAAAGCTATTTAGAAAACTTTAATAGCATTTTGACAGAATAATTTTATGTCTGCTGAATTTTAAAAATGTGGACTTGTAAGTCACGTATTTTAAACAATTTTACTTTAATAACTCATTTTATTGTTTAGAAAACTGGTCTGTCATGGACGGGGTAACAGTCTGAAAATGCACTAGTTTGAAACAGCACAGTAGCAGAATGAGACATGGTAATGAGGCTTAGGGAATTTTAAGAAGCAAGATACCTATATAGCATATCTGTTTAGAAGTGTCTCCCTTTTGACATGCTTAAAAGAGTAACTTATTCAAAATTCCAACAACTTACATTAGAACAAACACCCCAAACATCTGGGTGATAAATACTATAATTTTAACATTGTTCCTAAATAAACACTGATTTTTCTGAAGGAATACATTCTAAAGAGGTTGCTGTCAGATAAATATGGTCTTATTTTATTTAAATAAAATTATTTGTTAAATTCCATTAAAAACAGAATTTTGAAAAGTATTAGAAAATTAAAGTCTAGACAAAGAAAGAACTTCCTGGGAGAGCAAGGGAATAAATTGCTGGCATCATTTCTTCTTTCAGAAATCAAGCTTAACCATGGAGACTATGACAGAAATGATATATAGGTTAAAATTTTACTTTTAAATTTACTTTTAATAGGCTAATACTTTAAATCTCATCCTCTAGCATTTCAACTAAATTAACAGACAGAAAGTAAGTTGTACTTTTCCTTTTTTGGTTAAGGCATTCTACTTATAAGCAATAAAGTTTTAAAAACATGATTAAAGAACAAGATAACCCTAAAAATTAAATCTATTTGAATTGAGAAAAAAATTACCTCTCGAAGTGCTTCAGCATAAGAACTCATGTCTGTTAGGATAACCAATACATGTTTCTCACATTGATAGGCAAGAAATTCGGCTGTGGTTAGAGCCAAGCGAGGAGTGATAATTCGCTCAATACTGAAATGGAACATTAAGTCCTAGGTCACTCAAACAAAAAGGCTAAAAATAAAACAAAATGATTCTGGAAGTAATAGTACACTTTCCCTTTTAAAGTTTTAAAGAAAATGAGGATGGTAAAGCAATTATTACTTTAAAAATCATTAAGACAGTTATTTTAAAAATTTATATAGTAATAATCACTAGTGCCACAAAGTTATTTTATGAGTGTCCCATAAGTTTTCAGAAATACATGGTTTTCAAAACTGAAAAAGGGACAGGGAGGGAGGGATAGAATAGGGGCTCAATTTCTCATGAGAGAAAAAAGATCATTTATTGAGTATCCACTGTGTTAGGTATTTTATACATAGCAGCTTATTAAATAAATATGCACAACAACCTATGAGACAAGTATTATTTGTCACATTAAAGAGTAAATGATTTGCCCAAAGCCAAATTAACTATTAGGAAGAAGTAGGGGGCACCTCCCTGGTGGTGCAAGGGGTTAAGCCTCAGCACTACGAAGCTTCCCGCAGCCACTGCAGCATGAGTTCGATTCCCAGGCAGGGAGGTGACCCACATGGCCCAGCAGACCTCTCCTGACACACCTGCTGCTTCCCTTAGCAGTGTATTTCAGTAGATACACCTGATCTGGTCCCCACTGTTTCTGGTGAATCCTCTCACCCAGTGTTCCTCTGGCCTGCACCTCAGCTCTTGTATGCATAAATAAATCTTTAAAAAAAAAAAAGTAGTAGTAGGTGTGGAATTTAAACAAAGAGTTACAGTACTCCTGGGACCATGTTGCTTTCACTAATGCATTTTTACATCCCTATCTTAGGTGACATTTTTGAGCAGAAGCCTGGGTGAAAAAAAAGAAATTATTTACTTACGTTGGGTCATTAGCCAAGTTCAAAAAGAGGCAGACATTGTCCATTGAGCCATTTTCTTCAAAGTCAGATTTGAAGAACCGAGCAGTTTCCATGTTTACCTAAATAGTAATGAGTTCATCAGCGTTGGGAAAAGAAAAATTCTCAATATTCATATTGAGAAAGGCAAGTTATGGATCTACATAGTTCCTTCTCTTAAAGTTTGAAATGCCCCGAATTTTTTCACAAAAGCCAACAGAGAAAATAGCTTACTTTGGGCACAAAAGAGAACTGTTCTAAAATTTCAGTCAAATAACAAATCCTTAGTTTGCCCAAAATGCCAAACTGCAACTACTCTACCTAGAGATAAATTCAACAATACACATGTATTTTTCAACACTGTTCTAGTAACATACACAATTATTAAGTGTCATTATTTTTAAAACAACAACAAAAAAAATATACTTACACCCATAGCAGCAAAAACAATTGCAAAATTTTCCTCACTATAGTCCACTACATCTTTGGATTTCTTTACCAAACCAGCCTGGCGACAGATTTGAGCTGCAATCTGATGAATAATACAAAAGAATCGCAATGAAATCTAAAATAACATTTCTATAACAAAGTAACTTTTATTCTATACTTTTTGGAATTGCAATTACAAATGAAACGGGGATGTTTTAGAGGATTTTATTCAACAAAACTATTCTGTACTTTTTGCAAAGCTTTTTAAGAGTAAATAAAAAGACACATCATGCATGACAAAGATTCAATGTAACTGGATTACAGAAACAATAATATTGCATAGAGAATAACACTGGGTATCTATTTTGAAAGCCCTTGACTGATACAAAGCATTTAGGAAATCTTGTTAAATTTTACACCAAACAGATCCTAGTCCTTACCTCGTTGTGTGGTAAGCCAGCAGCAGAGAAGATTGGAATTTTCTGCCCCCTAGCAATACTGTTCATGCCATCTATGGCTGAAATGCCGGTCTGAATCATCTCCTCTGGGTAGATTCGACACTGAGGATTGATTGGCTGGCCTAATGCATTTCCAAAAGGGTAAATTTTAGTATGTCTGTATATATAAAGTAATTCTTTCTACTCTAAAAAAAATCAGTTATTTTTGAAAGCTGAAATTGCTTAAACTTTCCATTTATCTTGCATAGATTCATGAAATACAGGGTAGCAGAATTCAAGTTCTAAAGTGAAATAAATATATAGCAAATAAGAGAGAAATCCTAATTTCAAGGCTGTGGCTTTACTATTTACATTTCAGATAAACACTAGTGATATTTTATAATGCTCAAAGATATTTTGGGGCTCCCTGGTGGTGCAAGGGGTTAAGATGCAGCCCTATGAAGCTATGCGCAGTCACTGCAGCACAAGTTCAATACCCAGCCAGGGAGGTGACCCACATGGCCCAGCAGACCTCTCCTGACACACCCAATGCTCCCCTCAGCAGTGTATTTCAGTCAGTCTGCCTGTTCTGTTCCCCACTCTGTCTCTGGTGAATCCTCTCACCACTCCCCCACACCCCTGACCCGTACCCCAGTTCCTGTATGCATAAATAAATCTTTAAAAAAATTACTTAAGATATTTTATGTAAATTTTAGGATAACCTGTATAAAAATAATTTTATTAAATTATAATTACTGCTCACTTCGGCAGCATGCATACTAAATGATAATTAACTAAATATGGATAATGTTGGTTATCTACTTAAACCATCAAAACATCACTATCTGGTAGAGGTATAGGACAAACAGATGCTATTTTCCCTCAAACAAACAAATCCATTTACTGCCCTTACCCATGATATCAAGGAAGTCTTCAGCCAGTACAACAGGGCCTCTATCAATGGGTTTTCCTGATCCATTGAATACTCGACCTATGAAACAGTAACAAGATATGAGTGTAGATAGTAACTTTTAAATATTTGAAGTTTTTAAAAAAATTATGGGAATACATTAAAAAGAAAACAGATTTCTGTTAAGAATGAATAACAAAATCTATTTACCAAGCATATCTTCAGACACTGGCGTTCGGAGAATATCTCCAGTAAACTCACAGGATGTTTTCTTGGCATCTATACCTGAGGTTCCTTCAAATACCTATTGTGGAAGAGAAGTAATGACAAAGGTAAAAGGAATTTTAATAAATATGCACTGAAATTCTGTCTGTTAAGAGCTTATAAAAAGTAAAATATACAAGGGTATGCTATTTCTAACATAAAAAAATGTTCACAGTGACAAACCAAATCCTCAATCTCTAGACCAAAGGTTATTCACACTTGCAAGCTAAATCCATCAAGCAAGCTAAAATATTTTATCCCTTTTTTCCCCCCAAAAAGAAAGGAAACAAAGGAAGAAGAATATGCCTCAGAGCCCTTAGGTGGCCCCACAAAGCCAAAAAAAGAATTTACCATAAGAATTTACCTTTATGGAAGTTTTGCTGACTCTTTTAGGGGAATGTTTTGATTGAGAAAAATGGCATTTACCATAATCAGTGACATTAAAAACCAGAATTTATAAGAGAAAATTTAAAGGAACTGACTTAGATGTAGTTTGGGTTTCATTCCATAATTGGTGAATTCTGCTTTCCATTTCTCTATGTGACTGGCTCCCTCATTTTTATTCATAAAAAAAAAAAAAAAAAAAAGGCAGCTATTTTACTAGCAACACTATTGGGCTAGAATGGCTTTTTTAAAATATTTATTTATTTATATATATTTTAAAGCATATTTATATATATTTTAAATCATAGTTCATTTCTGTATAATGTTTGTATAATGTTTGCTTTCTCTTCTCAGGTGTAGTCGCCTTAAAATTCCCACCACCAATTCACCCGTGCACCATCTCCATAGTCCCTTGTGCTCTTCCCTCCCCTATTTCTATCTTTTCCCCTTCCCTTTCACTAAAGAATGTCTCTGATTTATAGCTGCCTGTTAATTTTGGTTTTTTACTTCTTCTTATGATTTCCCTGACCCCTTATTTGGTTGCCCTATATTCCTCCTATAAGTGAAACCATCTGATATTAGAGTGGCTTTATAAATGGCTCACATTTGGCAAAATAACATGCAAAAATAAATTTTCCCCTCACTGACAATACTCAATCTCCAAATACATACTTATCCAACGATCCAATGTTCCTTGTATTTTTTTTTTTGATTTATTTTTATTTATTTATACAAGCACTGGGTACAGTCAGAAGCGTGGGAGGGTGAGAGAATTCACCAGAGCCAGAGCGGGGAGCAGAGCAGGCAGACTGAAGTACACTGCTGAGGGGAGCAGTGGGCGGCAGGAGAGGTCTGTGCGCCATGTGGGACCCTCCTCCGGTGGCCTGGGAGCAGCTGGGGATCGAACCGGCACTGCAGAGGCTGTAGGCAGCCTCGCAACCCAGTGCTCAACCGCTGCGCCACCAGGGAGGCCCAGTTCCTTGTATTTTTGTGATAAGGAAAAACTTTAGCTGGCCAGGTTTTGAAAGTGATACTTACTTGAACCACTGCTTTGGATCCACTCACTTCGAGAACTTGCCCACTTCTCTTTGTGCCATCTGGTAATGTCAAATGGACAATCTCAGCATATCTGGGAAACTAAGTAGGAAAAAATTAATGGTTCAACATTAATTAAAAGTTTACCCCAAATACTGTACATGCTCTAACTCTATCATAGAATAGATGCATAAGCAATGCCCCACCTCCCCAACAGAGGTTGCAAGCACAAAGACAAATACATAGTGGTAATGACTATAAGTATCCTCATCTTGTTTTGATTTAAATGGAAAAGTTTCTACAGTCTCTTTTTTAGTTATATTATTTGCTACAGACTGCAGTAGACAGGCTTTAAGAGGAAAAATTTTATTCTATTCCTTTTCAAGAGGCCTTTTTTTTTAAAAGAAATGAGTACATTTAAATTAAAAAAATTTTAAATATAGTACTGAAAACAGTTAAAAATATTTGTTTCAATTATGTAAAGTACTAAGCTCAGCACAGAAAATGTGATAGTGAACAGTGGGTGGACCCACCCTTCATGGAGCCTTTTGAGGTGTAGAAGCAGGTACAGTACAGTAATAAGTGAAGGATAAATGCAAGATGCGATGAAAGGCAAAACAGGAAAGACTTAGTAAATATATGAGGAAGTAATTTAACAGAGCTAAAATATTTCACTGAATGTTTAGAGTACAGCTTCAATTGAGAAAAACCCATTTTAGTGTGTTTTTTTTTTTTAGTTTTTGACTTTTAAAATTTTTAAAATTTTAAGATGAGTACAAAAATGTTATAGTTATAAAGAATATAATTAATATTTACAATTAATAGTTATAAAGAATATAGAAAAAAGGGAAGATATACACAATAATGAAGCTAAAAAAGCATCCTGTATTTTCCTCAAAAAATAAAAGAGTAGACTCCATTCATTCACAAAACACTGGTGGGCCACCTTCCTAAACCTTGTATACGGTTTCAGTTCTATACATAGAGGCTTAAATGAAATGAGACTAGTACGAAATTGTGGCCAGAATGTAAGCCTGCTATGCTTATTCCCCATATTAGTTTAAACATGCACTTTGTCATATACAAAAATATTAGTGATAACGGTGAAGAGACAATGCACTTTGTCCTTTTTATGAAATGTTTTCAACTTATTTTTTGCTTCCTGGGGGGGTCACATGCCAAACATACTTCTGCCATTACTTCTACCAACAAATTATAGTTATTGTGTGCTTCCCCCCATTCCCCTCACCCCAGCTCCACCCCAACACTAACCAACTAATGTAGAATTACTGTTCTAGAAAGCATATTATAAAAATTATTTTCTCTGATGTATTCTGATCATACATAAGTCTCAGGAAGGAGACTTAGCCTAGTGTATTCAATTGCAGAATATATTCTACACATTCTTTTGTAAGGTAACACTAATAGTTTTATAATTCTTCTGCACAGATATATTAAAAACATATAACTAAAGATTTTTATAACAAACTGAATATGTAAAAACTAATCTTTAGTTACCACTGGGATAATTACTTCGTTATTCATTATTTGAACCAGTGGCAGGCCGTCAAAGATATAAGCAACATTGTCTCACTCAGAAATCCTTAAACTTAAGTAAAGAATACAAATATTAACACATAGCAGTCTACAGTATGAGTTATAAGATACCATATATTTATGATACCTGACAGATTATAAAAGTCACAAATATTATTGCTTCATTTTGTTCCTAATAAACCCGTGGCTAGAGTTGACTTTTTTTTTTCTGTAGACAAGGGATTCTAGGCCAAAAACAGAATTCAACAGTATATCTAGTACTAAAATCCTGTCTTAAAGACTATTGATCTAAAACTCTTGTATCCTACATAGCACTGATATTCAGGCGAAAGAATGCTTAAAAAATCAAAATGTAAAATTAAAGTATAATAAATAGAATTTAGTGTCACATTTTCAATTTCATAAATGTTTAAAACATAATGGCAGTTGTATTACCTTCACATGATCTAAGATCACTAGTGGACCATTGACTCCTGAAACTGTCTTGTATGCTGGAAAAAAACATAGAAGAGTCAGTTTTAGTCAAATAGGACATCGGCCTAAATTATCTCTGGTATTATCAAAAAACTTCTCTCTGCTCTATCATACTTATTACATTATGCAACAAACAACTATAAACTTTTTCATGGAATTAAGTAACTTGCTGTATATCTCACTTCATAATCCACCCTTATCCAAGCAAAACATTTTGAATCATTAACATAAGTCGCATTGTTTTAAGAATCCAGGATATAAAAACAATTAAGGCACAGAGAGACAAAGCCCGCCTTCAAGAGCTCAGTTTTACAAGGAGAAGCTGGAGGGCTCTAACAGAAGTATACAGAGGGCTTGTGAAAGCACAGGAGAAACCTACCTCAAAGAGAAAGGAGGGAGTGAGATCAAAGCAAGGGCGGGTGGGAATTGCATGGAGACTATAACCAAGATGAAAATGCATACATTGTGCAAAAATGAAAAATGATGTAAAAATATATAATATTTAAAAAAAATAAACATAAAAAAGATTGTTTGATTTTCTGCTTTTCTGAAAATCCTCCCCACTGTTTTAACATAATCTCATACTTTTGAAAATTTCTACTCTTAAAAATTTTCCTCACTGTACTCTTTGAAAGAAAGAATCCAAACATTCTGTTTTACAATGACTCTCTAAAATTATCATTTGTAAATGCAAAATGAGTTACATTGGAAATGTTTTCTTAGAACCCAGATTTTAAAAACAGAAACATGGACCTTTACAAAAAAATTAAACTGCTGTGGATGGGAGGGAGCAGGTCGGAGGACATGGAGGGGGAACTAGACTTGAGATTTACAGGTAACTCATTTTTTGAATAAAATGTCATATCAATAATATCCCTCAGGTTCTCAAAATTCCATTTACTTTTTCACAAGACTTGTATCTCCTTTGAACCTCTAACCATTACAACCACAATGTTTCAGAATCTCGTGTTTAATTTCAAGCTCATTCAAAATTAGGAAGTTCAGTCAGTCACAAGCAAAACGGCATGACCCAGAAAAAAACATTAGTCACTGCTTTTCCAGGAAACAAGAAATAAAACTAATTTCTGTAACAGAAGACAAGATTCTACATCCCATCAAAAGCGTATCTTTTTTTAAAAAAAAAAAATGCAGGCCTCTCTCTTAGCAAACCTATCCCTTTCAGGGAAGCCCTTTCTGCCCCTTTGTGTCTATGCAAGTGTCCTTTATTCTTCTCTCCCTTTTATAATAAACTTGCCCCTTTGGATGTAACTAACATCTCTGTATGGTGGAGAAACTCACCTGAGAACCTTCCCTCCTGCTGCTGAAAGGGAGCTCTGCTGAAACCTTTCCCAGAGTGAACCCAAGGACCCTGCCCTCTGAACCCAACAACTCCAAAAAATGACAGCACAAACACCACTTGTGCAGTTAATAAGATTGGTTTGTTGGTTTCCCGCTTCCCACTCCTAATTCTAAGGCTGGTACTCTAGAACCCTGTATTTCTGCAAGCAGTCTCCAGAATAATTAAAAGATATGACAGTGGGCCTCCCTGGTGGCACAGGTGGTTGAGTGCCGCACTGTGAATATGTCCGCAGCCTCTGCAGCGTGGGTTCAATCCTGGCCGGCTGGCGAGAATCCCACATGGCAAAGAAGACCTATCCTATCTCGCGCGCTGCTCCCCTCAGCAGTGTATTTCATCAGTCTGCCTGTTCTGTTCCCCGCTCTGTCTCTGCTGAATCCTTTCACCCTCCCGCGAATCTGGCCTGTACCCCGGTTCTTGCATAAAAATAAATAAATCTTTAAAAAAAAGATATGACAGAGTTCCTAGAAGTTGGATTACATATAGGTACTAGAGGACAGTTTAAATACAAACTGGAACTCTTTTCCATGATAGTAAAACTATTTGAGGAAAAAAAAAAAGGCAGAAAAAATGATATCAACAACCACCTTTCATCTGTCAGCAATATTTCTCAGTCGTCCTCACCATAACCATTAACAGCCCAAAGCAGATACCAGTTTGTATTACGGCAGCCAAAGACATTAAGATGTGCATTTAAAAAAAAAAAAAAGTCAAAATCCATTCACAAATTACATAAACAGTTTTATTTACCAAAACAATGGCCACTCTAAACAAGAACCTGAATGCAAGAATTCACCTGACAAGAACTTGAATCTGCAGGTGATGAGCAAGCACTTTTCACAACAGAGCAGATGCGTGTTTACATTACACACTGAACACATATTACAACCAAAAGTCATATCTTTGATTCTGGTCTACGAAACAGGCAATAAATACAGAGCAACATTTAAAAACCAAGATCTGCAAAGATTTTAAGCAGCACATATTTAGATGACATCCTCTTCCTCCTGCAGGATATGAGATTGTTCAACACTAGAATGGCACTTCGCGATTGTGAAATTTTCAAAGAAAAAATTTGACAGCCATTGCACAACAAGGGATCTATTCCTTTAGCCTCCACCTTATGTTGTGTAAGAATAGTAGAGACCCACACCCTGAACAGTGAGTGGTTACTCGGGTTCTATAAAACGGCAGGCCAGTGATTCCTTTGACTTCTTTGTTGGACTAGTTCTGCTTTATAAGAAGTCAGTTGATCCAGCTGCTCTAGAACAATGGACACTATGTAATTCAAAATGTTTAGCACATAAAATTCTATGTATATTATTGAACTTTGCTTAAAGTTTAAAAGAAAGTCAAGTATTCTTTTCTGTGACTTTAAAAGTTCAACTAAAGTGCACTCAAGATTATTTCAAACCTACATATTTCAGTTTTCAAGTCTTATTAATGGCTCTATAATTCTGTTTTAAAACTGGATTCAACTTATACAGAGGAACTGCCAATATTACTCCATCCTTTTGTTCAAAAAAAGCACACACTAAGCAACTATGATAACAGATAATACCTAAATGGTATTATCAGCCTTCAACTAGACCAATATTTATTCAGAAGCATTTAAAATTATTTACTGGAGTCTAGATGTGGCAAAATAGGAAAAAGATGATACTCAAATGTAATCATTATAAGAAGTATGGCATCATCGATGCCTTTTAGAATAACCAAAATACTGAAAGGAAACTCAGTCAAGTATCCCAATTCCCTACTCTGATTTCACCCATTTTAAGAATCTATGTTATTAAAACAAGGGGCTTAAACACAAGTTATAAAACAATTACAAGACACCCTCTGGGTTCAGCACTAAGGATACAAAAAAGGATTCCTCCTCTAAAGTTTGCACACCTCAGTTTTAAGCATTATGTTGCAACAATTCTGTCAGAAGGAACCTCATCTGGAGTTCTACACTCACAGGCTAAGCACACACAGAGCATTAAGAAATCATACCCATTTCCCTTAAGGGTTTACAACCTTAACTGTGGAGTGCCGTGTAAACTGTTATTATTTCAGTGGATACTCTCTGAATTGACAATGAATGAAAACATGAAAACCCACTATTAAACTCATATACTATTTTCTTAGAAGCACCATTAATGTTTGTATTCTACCCAAAGAAAAGCACACAAGTGTGATTCATGAAAGAGAATCTGTAATTGTTAGGTATAAAGTTATTATCAAAATCTATAAGAATGCAACATCTATTCATTTCCTATGAGATTTACTTCAGTGGGTAAAAATGCCCAACAGGAGTAAAGTCAGATGACTTCTAGTAAAAAAGCACCAACTCTGGTTCAAACATTCTCCTTTGCTCTCACCCTGCATTGCTATCACATGACCCAGTGACAGATTAGGATAGGATTAGTCAGACTGGAGAGCACCCAGACATTTCATCTGAAATTCTTTTTAACCAATGAGCCACCCACAAGCAGGCTCTCTGGCAATTAACCAGTGCAAATATAGTGCCGCCACCCAGAGAAATATAGGTTGCTTTCCCAAGTTTCAAAGAGTGTCTATTTTCAAACCTCACACCCAATTGCCAAGAATGCTGTGAAGCGGTCTGATGCTACACAATGATACTGTGTAGTATCAAGAACCTTTTCAGAACTGCTGAGCAGTGACTTAAACCTGGATTTTTAAGGCCCTTTATAAAATCACACATATGCATATATGTTTTGAATATACACTTATAATATGGTGAAAGATGCTTGGTTTCGTCCAAGGTAGTCTTCCATTCAGACAACTTAGGTTAACTGGTCAGTAAAAGAGTAATGGCAGAATAAGCCCAATGAGAATTAAGAACCCTGGAATTTCAGTTTTTCCTCTGCTAATAATAATTAGGTGCCTAAAGCCTTCACAAGTCCTGTCCCTCCCAGAACCTTAGGCTTCTCAGTGTAAAATGAGAGGGTTAGACTAGATGATCTAAAGGGTACTTTTCAGTCCCAGCGTTCTTTGATATCTGGGTGTCGTTCTGCAGAGCAGCCCCCCCAGGAAAGAAGTCGCATCTCCCCCTGGCTGCTGGCCTGACCTCCATGCACCATAGGCCTCACACGTCAGCGATGGCACTACCTGGGGGAGTGGCAGACCGGCCCAGAGGTCCACAGCAGGAGGAGGGGATGGGAAGGGGCGTTCCCTCGCCCCCTGGATAACCAAATGCGATCAGAAGAAGGCTAACATCGGGGTGACAAGGGGTGGCTCTCCCGCAGGGACAGGCATCAAGTGCTCGAGATGGCTCCAGTCTAGCCAAGTTGGAGGCCGCACTGTAGTCAGGAGCCCCCCAAGCCCTGGGAAACGTTTCGGTGGGTGCTTTCGCCCTCGGCCCACATATGTCCCGGAAATGAAAAGGACACGTACATCCCTTTCTCCAGAGCGCTATGTGGGCAAAGGACAGACAGCGAGACGACCGCAGCCCTCCCCCCACCAACCCGCAGGCTAAGCAGGTGAGTGGGAGCAAAGGGCTGCACTAATCAGCAGAGACAGGCTACGTCTCGCCCCCTGATACTCACTGAGGCGAGGCTGGGAGAGGTAGTTGCGGCTCACTGCCAGCGCCTGCTCCCGAGACCCCGCCACAGGCCCGCTGGAGGGCACGGGGAGCTCGGGCGCGGCCCCGTTCACGATCCCTCGCATCGCTCGCAGCGCCATCTTGTCTCCTCCGTCCCGACCGGCCCCGCAGCAGCGGCGCCGCGCAGGCGCAGATATAACAGGGATGGCCCGCGCACGCGGCCCCACCCATTGGCGCAGCGGAGACCCCGCCCCTCGCCGCGGAGACCCCGCCCCTCGCCGCGGAGACCCCGCCCCTCGCCCGGCGCGCCGCCCGCTGTCTCGTGACCCGGCTCCGCGGGGCGGGCGGAGCCGGCGCGCGGCCGGAGGAGCTGACCAGCGTGCTGGGAGGGAGGGCTGGGGCTCCAGAGAGGGAGATGCCAAAGAGGAACGATAAATAAAGGCAAGATGTAAGGCAGAAAGACAAGAAAGGAGGGGGCAGGGACGCAGATAAAGGGAGGAAAGGGGGCGAGGGCTCTCTGGTGGCGCAAGGGGTTAAGCAACGCACTATGAAGCAAGCCACAGCCTCTGCAGCACGAGTTCGATCCCAGGCCACGGAGCTGACCCACGTGGTGCGGCAGACCTCTCCTGTTTCTCCCTCTGCTCCCCTCAGCAGTGTGTTTCAGTCAGTCTGCTTGTTCTGCTCCCCGCTCTGTCTCTGGTGAATCCACTCACCCCCGCATCTCTGGCCCGTACCCCAGCTCTTGTATGCATAAATACATAAATCTTTAAAAAAAGGGTGGGGGGAGGAAAGGGGAAGAAACAAGACATGCACAAGGACAGGTGAACTAATGGCCACTTCATAGTGGCATTTGTTTGCTTCATTTCACTGTCTTTTATCCAATTCAACCACTCATGTTGCCATTAAAAAATATATTGGACTATTTAGGGGGATGGGAGTCATGTGAAAGACAAATTGGAACCTATCTGAAAACTATTTAAGAGTTGGAGTTAGGGCCTCCGTGGTGGAGCAAGGGTTAAGACGCAGCCCATGAAGCAATCCGGAGCCACTGCAGCATGAGTTCGATTCCTGGCCAGCCAGGGAACAACCCACATGGCACAGCAGACCTCTCCTGTCTCTCCTGCTGCTCCCTTCAGCAGTGTATTTCAGTAGATCTGCCTGTTCTGCTCCCCACTCTGTCTCTTGTGAATCCTCTCACTCCACCCCACAAATGTGGCCTGTACCCCAGCTCTTGTATGCATAAATAGTGCATAAATAGATAATTTTTTTTTAAAGATTTATTTATTTATTTATACAAGCACTGGGTACAGTCAGAAGCACGGGAGGGTGAGAGAATTCACCAGAGCCAGAGCGGAGAACAGAACAGGCAGACCGACAAAATACACTGCTGAGGGGAGCAGCGGGCTGCAGGAGAGGTCTGCGTGCCATGTGGGACCCTCGCCGGTGGCCGGGGATTGAACTGGTGCTGCAGAGGCTGCGGGCAGCTCTGCAGCCCAGCGCTCAACCGCTGCGCCACCAGGGGAGGCCCTAGATAAATCTTTTTTTTTTTAAAAAAAGAGTTGGAGTTAATACATGAATGAATGACCGGAAGCGAATAGCCCAGCCCTGGGCCTAAAATTGAATTTATTGTCGTGCTATTTACAGGGTATAGAATAGAAAAGGAAAACTTTTGCTAGTGGTGGAGGAGGAAAAGAGAAAAACTACTGGCTGAGTTTTAGTCTAGTCTTCTATCTGTTGTGCCTAGTAAGGTAACTTGCACATAGTACTTAATATCTATTAGATAAATAAAAATGTGCTGCTCTGATCCTAAGGATGAAACGTTCCTCCAATCCATCTGGAAGATGTTTTCCTAAGGAACACCTACCCTACCCTTCACACAATTTGTTCAACTCTTGTCTTTACTCCCAAAGAATGCAAGACTTACCAGTCCCAGCAAAAGGGAACGTGTTTGGAACATGAGACTAGGAATCGCCAGCCTCAGTCTCAGGACTGATGGTCTCCTTATGCACACTGTGACTTTGGACCAGTCCTTAATCCCTTCTGCCTCTGTCAGTCAGGAAGATTTCTTTTCATAGTTCTCAAGGATTTAAAATAAGACTTCCAGAAATCAATAGCTCAGACAGAAACGAAAAATGCTTATTCTTTTATTACAAATGATAATTGGGGAAGAAAATTAGAAAAGGGAAGGGGGAAGAATGGCTCATTCCAGTGACCTCATTTTCCCCATGTAATGTGCATTTTTCTTAATTTGCTGGAAAATCTTGATGAAGGAAAAGTATAAGAAAAACCATAGCAGATTAACTAAATAGATCTGTATATGTCTATATGGCAAGGCATAAACCTGTATAAAATCATTAATATAAAAATTTCAGCATGAAATGGGAGAAAAGCAAATTAATTCACATGTATATATATATCACATGTATACACATGTATACACATATATGTGATATCACATGTATCACATATATACATTCACATGTATATATATCTTTGTTGTTATGTTGATTATTTTCTAATTCTATTCATCACAAGCAGGCAGAACATTGCACTTTGGCCTCCTGAAAATGGAGATCTCTGGTTCAATTTCATATTATTTTCCTTAACGTCAGTAAGATCACTAATGTGTTACAGAAAGAGAGGGAACAGCAGAGGGCCCCCGATGATCAGGGCAGTTGGCTACTAAGTGAATAGTGCAGATGTTTAAACATGCAAACCCTGATATCTACTGTAAAGTTGCCTGGTAGTGAAGAAGTGAGAAAACGTAGTTGAAATTCCAGGTACCCTTTATCAAAGATTTTCTTTTGTTGCCAGGTTAAGACAAACCTCTCTCTTTCCAGATGTTCTAAGCAAAAGGAAATCAGTTGGATAAGATGCATCAACTAATGCATTTATTTTAGAGAATATTATTCAGCCACTAAGACAGTCAGAAAAGAATGTTAAACAACTAAAATTTATCACAATACAGTATTAAGTAAAAATTCTGTATGATATGGCACACAAAGTATAATCTCTATTATCTATATGTGTCCAGATATTCTCTGAGAAAATATTGGAAAGGAATATATGCTACTGTTTGCAGTAACTATCTGGAAACTATTACTCTAAATGTACTGCATGTAAAATAAGTGGGATAGTCTCATGAGTGAGTGGTAATGAAAACTAAAATACGCAAGAGATGCTTTTTCTTGAGTGATGTGGCTGCTCGGCTCAGAAAATGTAGCCCCAACTATAATTACCAGCCAGCATCATACCTCCTCAGTGCCCATTTGGGATTTAGCTATGCAGGAGTTGGTTAAGACCAAAATGAGCCAAAAGCCAGAATCATAGATATAATATTGGATGACTTGTAGCACTTCCTTGAATTATAGTTTCTGCTTCTGACTATAAGTTGCTTAAAGCTGGGGCTTTTATCTCGCTCATCTTTGTACACCACACAGCACCTGGGATTTGAGCCAGCAGAGGCACAAATACCTACTTGTTGTTGTTGTTGTTGGTGGTGGTGGTGACTGTCTGAGGACAACATGAGACTCACAAAGGCATTGGAAGCCCTCATTGAAACTTGTACTTTCCCAGAATCTCATTGCTTAAGAATGTGAATAAGGAACTTTTACCTTCTATTTGGAATTTAGTTCCCAAGGCCGTACATCCTTGACTGTGAGCAGAATTCCACAAACAGAACTGAGTGTTTTGAAATCTGCCGTTGGGATCTGAGTCTCAGCCCTGGCTCCTTCTTAGCTTTAGTAAAGGACCAGAGATGGAAATCTACATTCCACAATTCATTGCTCTGGTCAGTGAGACTGGAAATACTCATGACTTCAATAGGGTATGAAATGTCAGTCGTATTATCTTTTTGGAACAAAGGCCATGTTTTCTAAAAACATTGCTCTACAAATACCAGAAAATAGATGTAAGACACCTGAATTAGTAGGGTTTGGGTCCTGGTCTGCTACTTACTAGCTGTGAGACTTTGGACAAACTATTTCTCTATGCTTCAGTTTGCTGACTTAAACAGTTCTTGCAAAGAGTCAACGATTAAATTAATAATATGCTCCTAGAAGAGTGCCTTGTACATAGTAGGTACATAATATTGGAACCTGCCATTCTGGAAAAAAAAAAAACTGTCTAATGGCTGGCATTTTGTCCTCTTTAGATTGGCAGCCTTGCCCCAGTTCCAAACATGTTAGTTCCTAGATTCTATCGAGAAAAGTGTAAAAGTTAAGTAAGAACTTACTATTAAGGAACGTTAATAAAAACATGCTCTTCTATAATGAGAGACTTTTCTAAGCTCAAAATGACCCTCTGAAAGTTGTTTATTCTTTTTTGTTTTGTTTTGTTTTGTTTTGTTTTTTTAATAGAGGCATGTTTATTTATTTGTTTGTTTGTTTGTTTGTTTGTTCTGTTTACACATGCACTGGGTACAGTCAGAAGCACTGGAGGGTGAGAGAATTCACCAGAGCCAGAGCGGGGAGCAGAGCAGGCAGAAGGACTGAAGTACACTGCTGAGGGGAGCAGCGGGCGGCAGGAGAGGTCTGCGCGCCTAAAAGTTGTTTATTCTTTACAAGCGAACTAGTCCCATTAATAGATGGCCTGTCACTACCACTGCCATTTCATGAGAAGTCTTTTGGTTTGTTACACCGCACAAGTCTATCTGCAAACTCCCAGAACTTCTAGCAATGGAAACTTCAACCAAAAGGACACCACGAACCTGCATTATTCAAGGGGATATCTGCCTGCATTATTTACAAATCGCTTTGCTATCACCGTTGACATCATAAAGAGGGGTGTGGAGGAAATATCTATCAGCCAAGAGTTTCTCTTGATTTAAATGATTTCTTATAAGTGGATTCTTTTAGCTTTGCATGCTCAGTGTAATTAGTGCATATGGTCCAGCTGTGAAGAAATAGCTGCAGACCCCTAACTTATTATTAATTAGGCTCATTAAAATGCAAGTAAGAGAACGTTGGCTAGGTAAACAATACCTTATCTCAAAAAGTCATTACTTGACAAGAGCTAGTCTTCCTAACTAAAGTCATTACTGATTTGTTGTGGAGGGTTTTTTTCAAGCACTGTGGGTGCCAGTTAACTACTTTTGGCTGACATCAAGGACAGACATGCCGCACGGGAAGGAGCCCCTGGTACAACACAGCAATTCTATTCACATCA